TAATTTTAAAGGATTGCTACACTTAATATGAGACATAGACATATTAAAAAGATTTCATTGCCAGTAGAGGCAAAATTCAAGCCTATCACGACACATCCATTGACATTTAGCTACATTTAAACTCGAAAATGTTAAATGTTAAACGATTTAGTTAATCCCCCAGTTGAGGATTAAGTTCATAGACTCTTTGTGGTACTGTAATAGATAATCACAATAGTTAATTGCAAAGACATGCCATACATCATCGCAAGAACAGATATTTTCTTGATCAACAGAATTGTATGCATGTTTATTCTACGATGGATAAGAGTGAATAACAATGAAATTATTAGATTATACAATAATTAGACTAATCATCCACTGCATATTAACAAAATAAAACTGACAATTTGTCTTATTGAGATTGTGTGAAATGAATAATCACATAGGAAGAAATCAAGTGTTGTGTTCACTGAGGTTTTATTTTCTTCCCAGAAAAAATCCCACTTCACACTAAAGTTGGCCCTGAAAAAATCCAATGAAAACTTGGTGATTACAGCATTCACCTCAGAGAACACAATAACACCAAATACGACGAACCACTTGACTTACAAATATTTTCTATTATTACAAAGTATTGTACGAACAGAGAAATGCATCTTCGCACATCCAGTAATCCGCAAGCACGGGTTTAAAGGGAATTCACAACAACAAAATATTTGTTATGCATAAGGCGAAACAGCATAACTAGGCACAGGTCTGGTTAATACAAATTTACCGTTCTGAACGCCCTTAAAACAAAGCCAAACACCACGAGAAAATATAAGAGCGTCAGTAATAATTACCATGGCGAGTACGAAGTTGAAACATTACATACATACATCATGTCAGCTTCAATAGTATTTGAAATTCCTGTGGAATAACGATGTCACACTTGAGAAGGAGTGAACTTCACACTAACTATCTAACTAACAAAATCAACACATCCCACTATTCAGTTTTCAAAGTTTTGAGTATATAAGAATAATCAAATGAAATATAATTACGTTTCAGCAGTTCACACACAATGATAAGTTTCTGCTTTTGGTAATATTTCGAGCAAAATTACTACCCGTAGTCACACTAACTGTTGGAATTGCTTTGTTTTCAATTCACACATTTATGATTTGTATTCTTATATATATATATAGTCCTTTTTTATCCATTCATTTTTGTGTATCCATAATTATATTCCAGGTTGATGACAGTTGTGCTGAGTCACCCTTGTTACATGTATCCGGTGTGACCTTAATGAATACAGATTCTGTTATTAGTCTTTCTTTCCATTTGTCCATATTAGTTTTGAGAAGTGAAAACATTGATGCAAACAATATTGTGGCTTTTGCCCGATGCATATGCAGCTAGCTATAGACGAATGTTTTTTTTCGAAATTGTTGTAAGCTTGTGTTCCTGTGGTTTGACGTTTAGTTAGGCGTTTATGTTCATTCACTTTTATTTTGAGTGATCTGGACGTTTGACATATTTAGGCGGACACTCGGCACAAGATATTTTGTAAATTACACTATTTTTTAGGCATTTAATATTGAAATTGTGTTTGTTGGCCAGTCTTTTAATGGAAAGAGCGGAAGTAGAATCAATGTCGAATTTTCAATATGAAATGCCTAAAAAATGGAATTATTACTGTGTGTACATAAGATAAAAATTACCTACATGCACTGATACAGCAAATGCAACTCTCACATATACCTCAGATATATGCATCAAAGAAAAGCTAAGTGGTATTATGTGAAAGTTATTCACAGTAAGGAAAGATATTAATGAAGCAAAATAAAAATTCAAAGGAACGATTGAGAAGAAAAGGTATGAAAGCATACTAGAAGTCGCACTAAAACGAAAAGAAACTACCTATGAAGAAACAAATCAATAAATGTAATAAACTCATGATCGCAAAAAGCATGAATGACATACAACTAACTAAAACCAATTGGATTGTAAACATGTTAGACAGAAGGCTAACAGAATCAGAGGAAAGCGTACTGATGAAAGGGATGAACCTCAATATTAATAACAAACGATTAAAACCTGAAGATATACCGATGATTGATACAGCCCTAGAAGTACATGACAAACAAAAAGCAAAATTGGTACGGGCACAATGTGCACTAACTTTAAAAAAAAGGCGGAAAACTTAATGTAACGAAGGAAGAACTAAAAGCACTTCAAGACATAAAAGTAGACAGATCCACTGTCATTACTCGAGAAGACAAAGGAAACACAAGAGTAATACTTAACAAAACAAAATATACGGAAAAGATGAATGAACATTTACAATTTAACACTAATGACCAAATCATCAGAAACAATCACAACCAAAACAATGAAAGAAACAGCAAAGGTATTAAGACAGATGGAAGAAGTGATTGGTAAGTCAAAATGGTCTGAATAATAATAATAATAATAATTTTTCCTTCACGTTCCCAGTGGAGCATAGGGATTCAAACTAGAGGCTTGAAGTTTCTCTAGCAGAATGATTCTGAGAAATTCTTCTTACTGTTTACGCTTCTTACTGTTTAAGCTAAGCAGACTCAATAAAATTCAGTATGGAAATAGAGAATGCAATTGGGAGAATGTCTACGTTAGACTGCAAAGTACAAAGAGTAACAGATGACAGCATAAAAACGACGCTATGTAGAAAAACTACACATTCTGGTAGATTCCTTGATTATCACCCAGCTAATCCGCTCACGGTAAAACGAGGATTAATACAAGGTTCGCAGATAGAATATGTAGACTTACAACAACACAAAATGACTATCGAAAAGAAATTAAACTCTTTATTCAAAATATTAACCGACAACAAATACCATAACGAATTTATCAGAGATAATATAAAAAGAGGGTAAAATCGGAGAATGATAAGAAGAAGGAAGGCAAAAAACAGTCACAATACCATACAAAAATGGTGCATCACAGACAATTCGAAGAAACCTCAAAATTATTGGTATTCGCGCCACGTTTAAACCGACGATCCTAATTAAAATTAAGATAAATCAACTGAAAAATCCAATAAAAATGATGCATGAAAATAGTGTAATTTACAAAATATCTTGTGCCGAGTGTCCGCCTAAATATGTCAAACGTCCAGATCACTCAAAATAAAAGTGAATGAACATAAACGCCTAACTAAACGTCAAACCACAGGAACACAAGCTTACAACAATTTCGAAAAAAAAACATTCGTCTATAGCTAGCTGCATATGCATCGGGCAAAAGCCACAATATTGTTTGCATCAATGTTTTCACTTCTCAAAACTAATATGGACAAATGGAAAGAAAGACTAATAACAGAATCTGTATTCATTAAGGTCACACCGGATACATGTAACAAGGGTGACTCAGCACAACTGTCATCAACCTGGAATATAATTATGGATACACAAAAATGAATGGATAAAAAAGGACTATATATATATATATAAGAATACAAATCATAAATGTGTGAATTGAAAACAAAGCAATTCCAACAGTTAGTGTGACTACGGGTAGTAATTTTGCTCGAAATATTACCAAAAGCAGAAACTTATCATTGTGTGTGAACTGCTGAAACATAATCATAAGTTATTGAATTTATTTCACAGTGCTCAAACTTCTTACTGACATGAAGAATGATCGCACCCGTCTTTCGAAAATAAGATTGAGGAAGCATTTTAGAATCAAGAGTAAGGTTGGAATACAATTCCGTTCGGAAACAGACGTAAAACGTTTTTATCCTATAGCAATAATCTTCCAAACTTATCATATCCAGAATAGGTTTAATATACTAAAAGGTGGATGTTCACTAAGCACCACTCGGGAGAGATTTTAATTTACTTATCGTTATTATAATAAGCCATGAGGACGAAATATGAAAAGCTGCTCTTTGCAAGATAGAATAAAGCACGCTAATCAAGAATAACTAAAGTTCACCTTAAACATTCGGTTACATCTTTTTAAATATTCCAATAGCTCAAACTGATTTCGCAAAACATGCCAACACCACCTCTTACTTACTCGCTGAAGTCTATTGAGCTGGAATCCGCCTAATTTCAGCAGTCAACAGCTATCACCAGCTGTCACATACTTGTTTTAATTCGTTACAAGGTAAATGAAAACAGATTTATTGGGTAACATAATTTCATATTAGACTATGAATTTTGTGGGGTTGTTTATCTATCCATATGATCTTAATTAAAATGATGTGACTTCATATAATTACTGTGACTTATTCAGACACTGTTTGGATCTTGTAGTCAAAAGAATGCACTCTCTTTGGCGAAAACAGACTTTTAATATACTGCACTATGAATCATACATATATATTATACGAGGGTTGGTGGTGCTACCCAGTTTTTTTCATTACAGCTTGATTCCACACTGTATATTTGGTACAAGTATGGAATTTTCAGCATTGATATCGGTAGCCCAAATTTCGCAGGCCGACCATAGATATCATGTGTGCGTCGACAGGAGATCGAACCTCGGACCATGTGCATGGTCAGCGAGAATTCTAACCACTGTGCCACCGACGCACAGGTTGAAATATACGGATCGAAGCAGAAACTCTGAAACCATTAGCTGAAAACCGAGTGTTTTCTTTGGGTAGGTAGTGACTTATTTTGAACACAAAGGATCCAACTAATTCGACATTTAACTCATCTTGTATTAGTTGACTACAAAAATTAGCTTAGGGAAAACCAGACAATAAGTTAACAATAAAATAACCTAGTCAGCTACGCAATTCCCATGCCGACATCGCCAAGACGTGAACGTTTTCATCTCCTATAAAACTGTTTATTCATGCTCATAGTTGCTCACAAATGAATTAGGCAACATTATATACTACCATCAATGCACACTATAAAGTAATCAGGAGAATATGTAAATACTCACTCCACTAACGAATCGATTAATCGGTTTTCTATGTAAGAATCACTAAAAGCTAATTATTCGTTAAAAACCAATGAGGTAAGAATAAGTAAACATGGCACATGAAAATATATTATTAAATTCGATTGTGTGTACAATCTCGTCATTTTAAAAGAAGCAAAAGAAGAAAGCATTTCATAATTACAGTGATGAACATAAAAGTCACAAGAGCATGAAAAAGATATGTACAATATGTACCCAAAATAATGTCCAAGACAGATACTGTCCTTCTGAAAGACAAGTGAAAATATCTGTGCATAAATGGACAATTATCAACTTCTAAATAAACGAAATAGTGGATGTCTTTCTTTTTGTTTTTCTTTACGAGCAGCTGATGAACTAGTATCCACGTATATAGCATCATCTGCTCCTGATAAGCTGGACATTTTACCTGGTTTACGAATAACACTTGATGGTCCTACACGACTATTTAAAAAGCCCAAACCATCAGGATCACTTGGCAGTTTCTCTTCCATTGCATCCTCATCGGTACTAGCTAGTACACGATGCAACAACTCTGCTTGTTCTTGTTTTGTACTCAACTTTAAGGATTCATTCTCCATTCCAGCTAGTCTTGTTATTACCTAAAAAGGTGTGTGTGTGAGAGAGAGAGAGAAAAAAATGATATTGTTTCAATCAGTCAATGGGAGATCGTTTTTATTAATTAAAAAACTATACGAAAACTTCAAGAGTTTTCATAGACTCACACACTCCTTAAAATGTTAGTTCAGGGGTAGTGTTTAAAAGTGGAAATAAAACTCACGTTATTGCAGAATTTGAATTCAAGATTCCTGATGACTCAACACTCAACCGATCGGGTCATTAATTATTTCTAAAGACAGGTCTAGCTTTAGCGCAACTAAAAGTTCTAACTAGCAAGCATTCAACTGAATGATATACAAGTTCGTGTTAACAATAACATCACAATAAGATCTTTCCAGTGAAATTTCAGGAGAGTGAGGATCACATTAGGAGATAAGCAAGCTATTAAAGTGTGTTTTAAAAGAAGTCATGATAAACTCATCCCATCGGGTAAACACTATTTCACGCATGAATATTGAAATTGAAATTCAAATTAAACCCAAAGATTCGAACAAGCGACTTTTGAATTCACAAGACCCAACCCCATATGGAATAACTTAGTTATACTGCAATCAAGTAGAATATAGTTCAAATTTTCGCACAAGACCAATGCCCTATCATTCTACTCAACTTCTACCAATTGAGTTGTTCAGGTGGAATAATGTGTTCAAAGATGCAACAATATAAGATTAACAGGTAATCACGTGAAAGTGTATACGTATAGTCAAATATGCTATTACAGAGTCATAAACTATATAGTAAATCTTCATTTCCTGCTGTAATCTTAGCGGTGATAAGCAGTAAAATCCACGAAGCGTGTTACACTCTGCATATCCCCGTATCCCATGGTGTTGATGTTCCTCACAACTGAGACTCAAACTCAACAGCACTTCTTCAAACATTAATTAAGTCCAGGGTAATCCTTGCCTTATTCTTTATATATATATATATATATATATATATATATATAGACAGTAACATCAAACAAGGAAGGTCATTCAATCAACATCTAAAAATTACTCACACTGGACATGTTGAACACAGTTAAACAATAATAAGAAAAATAAATTATTGGCGTAAAACAAACATGTTTATCAATTTATCAGGTAATATATAAGTAACTTTATTTATCGCTTCTTCTTCTTCTTCCTGGATAAATATATATTAAATAAAGGTCAAAGGATTGAAAAGTTGGCGAAACAACAACTCAATGGAAAAAAAATGATTTAGACAGATTGCTATCGACAACGACAATAACACACAGTAAATAAATATTTGATTAGTAAACAAAGAAATCTTTGAAAGGGGAAAAGAAAAGAAAAGGAAACATTTCGTTTAGCATTTCCTATTAAGAACTAAACAATTCATTTCATATACACAAACAGCTGTAGGTTGATTAAACTAATAGATGAATCAGCAAGATAGCTTCTGATTAGTTATATACACATTAATAATTTAAGTGAATTTTAAAAGAATTAGTGAGGCCATTCTGTTATAACAAAAAGAGATAGATAAATTGAATGAACACCCACGAAACACTGTTGAGTGAAAAAAGGCAGTTTGTTTTTCAAGGCTGATAAAATCGCTTTTAACGGTTTGAAATTTGGGCATTGGGTATATTATATTCATTATAATAAAGGTTTTTTGTATTTCCCAATGATACTTTGATAAAGCTATTAGCATTAAATAGCGAAACGTCAGTAAAAACAATATCGTTTTGTTTTTCATTCATTGGGAAATACAAAAAACCTTTATTATGCTGATAAAGTCGGACTAAATATTTAGTGTCAAGATTCTTATACTGAAAATTTTAAGTTGAAAAATATGTGCAAAACTAAGTCTTATCCAGCGACACCACACATGATTTGAATTCAAGCAGTTCTCTCTCTCTTTCCCTGTTTCTCTTCGCGTGTTTTGAACTAGTTCGACTCTCCGAATTGACTTACAAATAGGTACACTCGGTTGCAAGCGAGTGAAACACCGGTGTTCACACCACTTTGATCTGGCTAGCGAGCACTGCTTGGCTGATGTCAGTCGTATCACACTATTCATACTAAGCAGTCAGTAGCATGTGCTGGGATGTCTGCAGGCTTATTTCCTTGGTTTTTGTTTACAATATCAAACATATTGTGATGAGAGCAGGCTGCTAGCCGATTGGTAGACATTAATTTACGTCAATGTATAGGTCGCTAATATTGGCCGTGGACAAGGCTGATTCAACAACCAATCACAGCAGACTTAACGTGGGCAAATACGATTCGCAGATATATGACTTAATTTTCTGAGAAACCAGTCACAAGCAGTACAGAATAACCTTGAGCAAGAAACAACCAATCAGAAGACTGTTTTTGTCTGCTTGAATAAGCTACAATAATGTACATGAAATGCATATATATACGTGCTGATTTCCTTAATAAACGATCTGTTGCCTGGCCTTTGTCTTCTGTTGTTACAATATCATATATATTGTTATCTGAATAATTTCGGTTTCCAAAGGAGACTGTGGTGAGATTTCACCTAAAGTTGTGTAATTTGCAAATTACAAGTCTGAATCTCCCCATCTTTTTTTCGACATTCTTATAAACACAAAGTTCATAAACAGAATAAAATTCACACAATTAGAAAAGAAGTGAAGAATAGAGATCAAGTGTACAGATCAACAACAGAGCATACTGAAGAGAAGTACTTTTAACTATCGAGTGATTTCAAAAATAATTTAATTAAGAAATCGAATTCACATCCAAACAACACGATGTCATACAATCAGTTTGTTATGACTGGCAAGTAACTAAAACTTTACTGAGTACACAGAAAATTAAAATAACGAAGTCAAGTGATTAGTTCAGGGAAACACAAATTTACTGAAAGTAAAAAGGTCCAATAAATAGACAGATTCAATGCACTTTCCCTAATTTTCTAGTCTACTGGCCTATGACTGGAGAACATTGATGGTTTGCACTAAATTAGATTTCAACCTCACATAGATCTATAGATTTGAAATTCAATTGTTATATAGACTAGAAAAACCATATAGTATAATTAAGAACATGATATCGTCTTACACACATACGATTATTGAGATTTAAACATGGACAGAAAAATACGATAAGGACGACAACTGAATTAATACGAATTAGACAACTTCACAAAGGTTATTGTTCTGGTTTCTATTAAGGAAAGATTTCAAGGTGAAAGGAGTTAAAGTGTTAAATTTCAGTCCAGTAGAAATTCCTTAGTGTTTTAACGACTAGTCACAAAATGTATGCCACCTAACACAACCACATATATTAGATGGTTGGAGGCAATCGGCAGGAAGCCTTGGACCTAGGTTTCGTGCAGATACACCTTGCTGATGAGTGCCAACTAGCACGAAACCTAGGTGCAAGGCTTCCTGCCGATTGCCTCCAACCATATTATATCATCAAATCAATGTGCACCGTGATGGCGAGCTACCTAGAATGGTGGCCACATTACAAACCTGACTGATAGAATTCAGTCTGCAGCGAAGAAAGGAATAGACACATCACACTAGTTACTAGTGTCAAATCAAAATAACCAAATATTATTTCAAGCAACAAACTGATATGTATCCATATAATATGTGTGTTTTGTTTGACAGTCTGATATATTTTGCTACGTATATATGGATCGATATTCCATTATAATTAGCCAATCATGTTAAGACTGTCTATTGATTTTTTCATTTTGAATATTCGCTCATACACTTGTTCGGATATTCTTATATTTTTGCTCTCACACTCTTGTGTGACATTGATTCTCCTGGTGTTTTGGAAAATAGAAGTATCATCGCAAACCTAGTGGTCTTCTGATTTCCGTCTTTCTTGCGTCAGGACTATTAGATTCTCGACCAGTACCTAACACAAACAATGAGCTGGAGCACAAAAAAAGGCAGATTGAACAGCTTTCTACTACATCCACCGTTTTCACAATCAATCAAATCTCTTTCAGAAACAAGAGATAAATTAGACGTAGAAACATTTAATATAAGTAGTACAATGTATACAGAGGGAAATCTACTACTTCAAAACCTTGTGAAACTTATATGTATTGAAAGGCTTTCGTTTCCTCATTTCTCCACTCTTTATTTTCACATGATTTGTATTTTTCACCAACATTACCGAGTACCCTAGAGAGTTGATAATAGCCAGCCATTTTGGCCATTTTTACATCAGACTGTCCTTAGCTCAATGAATTCTTAAAATAATCCCTTGAGTGCTGCCATACTCAATACTTCTAAATGTTGAACTGTTAATTCCAGCTTCAAATGTCGATAAGATTTGTAAGAACTGCTTCAAACCCTTGACTCCTGTGGTCGAAAAAGTAAATCACATGTGATTCATATTGTTTCATGCTTTACCTCAAACCTTTCTCAATGCTCCCGTGTCCAGTTGATTACGTAGAAAATATGTTGCTTCAATATTTATATAAGAAAGCTATAAGTCTATGAAGTAAGTCACCTAGTTTTACTTTTCAAACAGTTGCTACGTTTCTGCTACTCATCTCTGCTATTTCCTCTTGTATGTACTACTGTATGTTGAGCAGGATTTGCTAATTAAGCTAGTAATGAACACGACTATGCAAAGACATCTTAACTCTTGTGAACACTTGAATGCAGTTAATTTAGCATCATTTCTTGTTCTATTCGCAGGCGATGTGAGGAAGAAGGTAGTATTCTGAGCTCTGGATTTTCTTAGCAAAGTTTTCTATACCAGTCTTGGTATCGCCAGTAGTGGTTCACAGAGGATTAAAACTATCAGAACAATGCCAGGTCCTGTGGTATCATCTTACACTTGACAAGGGCGAACTGCATGCAAAACATCCGAGGATTTCTGCTGAAGGTGTTCAAAAGACTCTGCATTTGTCAGCATCTTCACTTATAAGGACAATATCACTCACTACTACTCACCTTATACGCATATCCTTGATTGACTAAGAAACGTTGACGTTTCAAAGCATACTGCATTTCCATAGTATCCTGAGATACTAGTGAATAGAAGAATGCATTGTAGGCTTCAGCATCCATTCCTCGTTTCGCTCGCAGAATACGACCCAAACGTTGAGCTTCTTGACGACGACTACCACCATGAGCACTGATTTGAATGAGTACTGTTGCTTCGGGTAAGTCAAAAGAGTTATCAGCAACTTTAGATACAAATATTGCTGGCACCTTTTTTGTTGTTGAAAAAATAAAAAGAAACAAATTTTGAGATATACGCATATCAAAAACAGCACACCGGTAAGAAAAAATATTTAGAGACCATTTCATTTATTTGGGCAGTATTCCAGTGTATCTCACTTGGCGCTTACAATCTAGCAAGTTTGTGTTTTGATAACAAGAACACTTCAAACTGGAAGAATGGAGGTTACACTAACACTAGCCAACACACACAATTTGATACATGAAACAAAGCACATTGTATACATAATTTCACCTGAGCAACTGGGGGCAGCAACAACAACAAAAATAAGAGCAAGAACAAGAACAGTAACAATAACAACAACAATCATACATATAACCGCTGTTTTACTGCATACATACACGTTTATTGACATCTCTATTATTTTATTTTGGATCAGATAAGCGAAAGGCTAAATAGGAGATAAGTGTTGTTGTTTATCCCTTTTTCGGTTGACCTAAAATTGAAACATGTATAGACTTAAAGTAAAAGAATAATCATGCAGACAAGTAGATTACGCGTGAAGAAAATCCCACTTGTATCATTAAATATAGAATGATGAAAAGGAGAAGAATAGGCAGTATATGCAGAGACAGCAACACAGTGACGTCGATGACACGATAAACAATAAAAAAGGAAATTACTCACATTGGGATTATGCTGAAAATTCTGTAATATTTGCATACGTTCGGCTTGACCAGTTGGACCGTATAGAAATGGTCGTCCCATTTTTGTAGCATAATATTTCAAAGCGAATACATTATCAGCGAATACAATAATCTTATCGTTTCTTCTTTCATGATAACGGATAAGATATTCACAGGCACGAAATTTATTCGGATTCATCACAGCCAACAGCAACTTCTTCATACTTTTCATCTTTAAAAAAATTATAATTTCAAGTGAATGAATGAGCAACCGCATAAACGCAAACAACTATACAATACAGTGAAGAAATATATATATATATGCTTAATTATTATTGCAAGGCATATATGCACAATATATTATGTTGCAGATTTATAATCATTAACTACAAAATGATTTGAATTACAAATTACAGAGAAGTGAATAACTGCATATCTACTTGACATTTAACCTCCGCTAGTTAACTAGCATGCTAGTTTTCCAGCCGGTCCCAAGCCCGAGTGAAGAGGGAGGGTTGAACGTGGGACTACAAACCCAACACCAATAAACCTACCACACTGTTACAGAAACATCAAGGCACAATATATTAAAACTTCAAATTACAACAATCTCATTCTTCGCTCGAATCGGAGAGGTGAAATGACACAGAAGGCTGGTGAAAGCCCACTTTCCGGAAGCCAGTCGATGTGTTTTCTTTTTGTCGATGAAAGCTAGAATAAGAATGGGGACGGGGACGTGGAATGTAAAACACTGGGAAGGTTGACCAGGTAACCAAAGAAATCAGAAGATATGGTATGGAAGTCCTGGGAATCTGCGAGAGCAGATCCAATGGATGAGGACTATGGAATTTGTCAACTAGAGAGTCAGTATTATACTACAGTATGGTCGCCCAGACGATAACCACGAGCACACTGAGGCAATGAGTGCCAGTCACGACGTCACCAGTGACAGGCGAAGTTCTAATGCATTGGGAACCAATCTCCTCCTCCAGGATCGTGACAGCAAGATTCAACTCACAAGGAAGGAAGGTCACAATTAACCAGGGCTAAAAACAACGCCGAACAAGAAAAGGGAGATTTTTACAGACAACTACAAACAGCTGATGGACAAGACACCAGCCAGATGGAGGCATTGAAATCCTTATGGGTGATATGAATGCCAGCTGAACTGGAAGAAGACAATACAGGAAAAGAATTCATCATGGGTCGAGAGGCTCTTACTCGATGAGATAAGTGATAACGGAGAACTCTTCACAAACCTTTCCGCCTACAATCACTTAGTGATCGAAGGCGGCATGTACGAGCACAAGTATAGCCACAACTCAACATGGATTTCGTCTGACGGACAAACCAGATATATTTCATCCCAACATTGCTCAAGAAAGTGAAGACGCAACCAGTCTGATATATATATATATATATATATATATATGCAACTAATCAGCTGCATAGTGAGGTCACTTCTTTCTTTAAACGTGTTGAGGATGAAAAAGAGACATTACAATAAAGAGTAGAAGAAAAAGAAGAAGATAGATCTTTCCAAACAACAAAAGTAAAAAGTATGTATATTATGTGTATAAGGACAGAAGGCAAGAAATGGATATGTATAAGAGAAACACAAACCACACATACACACACACACAAACACAGATACACAGGTGAGTTAATTCCTGTACACTAGATTGATTAGGTATGATATATGAATACTCATTAGAAGTAAATATGGGAAATTTGGAACTCAGTAATAAAATAAGAGGAAAGAAAAGCAATACATAAAAATTGGAACATTCTCTATCTACACAGGAACACATAACCCCTGTTACCCATAACAACAGAGTAATGTTCCAGAATGATATTAACGAAGAAATATTGATATATTGCACTTGACAAGCCTAAGGTGAAGAAAAAGATAAAAATCAGGGAGAATACAACTTCACTTTGGGTTATGCAAACATGAGAGTAGATTAGGGGATTTAATAATGAGTTTAATCTAACTGGTAGAATGTGACACATTGCCATAAACACTTGACTTCTAGCAGCCGGTGGGATACCGGGTTCGAAACCCATTGTACCTGAACGACCCTCACACAATATATGCAACTCATGCTGCTAAATGTAAAATTTGATCCAGGTAACTGAATTCAGACAAAAGAATGCTTTGGCTAGGGGGTAACCGGAGTCATGGAGTCATCCATAGCTGTTAGATTTACGGATAAAAAAGATCCATTAAATCCAATACAACAAATTGTGTGCAAGTACGCTTATTTGGTGAAGTTTAACCGTATGAATAAATAGAGATATAATTCAATCCAAAGGCAAGTTACCAACGTTATTTTTCTACAGAATAATAATTAGTATGATCAATATTGTTGTTATAATGTTTATACATTATAATCGAAACATTTATAAAGCAAACAGTATTCACTTAGCTTTTGAACAATAGATCCCAAAAACTCCAAGGATCCCTGTGTGGTCTATTTGAGTCGAACGTTGATTTGGTGATGGTGATCGCCTGGTTAGGCGATGTCTCTTTTTGTGCCTAAAGTTGGTGTTGATTTGGTATAGATGATTATCTGAACGGAGCTGTAGAAGACGACCAACGCTGTCGGTTCGTCGACAGGGAACTCCATAGGTACCACCTATATACTTCTCAGTGTAACATAACTTCCTACCTGAGCATTAAAACAGCATAAAACAACTGTATCTGAATTTTTTCTTTTTGCAGCAAACTAGACAGTTTCTGGTAGAAATCATCCTTTAATTCGTCCAAACTGCAGTCTGTTGGGGGCGTAAGCAGAGACTATGAAAAAACGACGGGTAACGCAGTCCTTCCTTCTTCTAACACACCCGTTCAGAAGGACCAAACACATACGGCTGTTTACTGTGATCCAGTCAAGAAGTGATTTTACTGCTCTAACACTCAATGCCATCCATACTCCTACGAGTCCCCGTGAACTAGCTAGGGGGTTTCCTGACATCTTTAAGGTAAACTTTGCAGACCCACCTTGTTGGCCGGGTGGGGTTAAGTGAATGACCACACTCAGGTCTTGTGTGCATGTCTCCGGAAAAAAACATACATCCATGGCCCGAGATGCGAGAGTTCTGGCTAGTGATGCCTGGTGACCAATTTGGCAGAGAGTCCTGACGTTAAACGCTGCAATATAAAGTTGGCGACTTGGCTTTAAGAGGCTATCTGGGGTGTTTCTATGGCTCTCATCGTTGTTTGTGGTCACAGAGTAAAGTATGGATGACTTACTAACCTACAGAATAGTACAGACAATAGAAAGGAGGCAAGGTGATGAAGGTGACAGGGATGAATGAGGAGTAGAATTAGAAGGACTTCGTGTGCTGTTGGAATTATGTGCGCTTCCCACACCGTGAAAGACAATTTATTCTTGGGGTGCCTCAAACAGGAAGAGAGTTAGCGTTGCGTGACCTCAGAGCCCAAGGGACAACCGCTTGAGGCCAGTCACACTCGCTCTGTATCAAATGATTTCTGGGATTTGTTCCGTATTAGTAAACTTACCGCCGTTTACGGACTACCGTAGGGTAAGTCGGTATGTACAATTTTTAAGGTCAAACTTTTCTAACTCCTACTCTCTATAGTACAGACAGCATAGGTGACTGGCATGCTGGTCATCTAGGGATAACACCTCACTGCTGTATCATCCTTTTTTCTAAGAGTACGACTTTTCCCACAGACCACCAGCATAGTGTAGAAAAAACTTACACTATGCCGGTAACTACTTTTAGTCTTATCGCTATGCTAACAATTTTCCTAGTATTGTAGGAGATGCAGAAACATTATTTCCAACCAATGCAGCTTGTTGGTTCATTGCGATATGTAAGCCCGACCACCACGGCAGGGTAGCAGCTATCTGTTAGGACAAGGGGAATAAGTGAGAAACTGACAAATAAAATCCTCTCATCTGAAATCTCTCTATATGACAGAAATCATTACTCAAAAAAAACCAAAATGACAGTAATAAAAAAAGAAACAAATCGACGAGCTCAACGACATTGAGCCATTGTCCACTTAAAAAAAATGGATTAAGAATAGGCAAAATTCAAAAATTATCAAGCATACGTAGGACTATTCGATAAGCTCTTATATTTACTCATTCCTTTTCATGTCAAAATAAATAAACAACATATGTTAATGACCATCGAAAGCTCGATTATTTGATCTGTGAATAGAGTTTTTCAAAATGTTAAATAATATCAAGTTTAAAAAACCACAATGGTAACATGCGGAAGTAAAATGATTACTTGGTATGAAAAATTTAAACCAAAACTTGCCATTTACTGGTACAAGTAAACTACAAACCGGCCAGTGTTACTGTAAAGAGTAAAAGAGTAAAGAAAAAGATGTATACCTAGAACAAATGTAGATGATGTGAACCTATGTAATCCAGATTCCATCAGTGTCTACCATGACTGAAGTGGTAGTTCAGTTAGAAGAAAACTAAAAGAAAAATCCTACACAAGACATAATATAAAATGCGACATAGTTGACTATTAGTGAGACTTACATAAGAAGTTATTAGATGACGTGAATGATTTCATTACAACTTTATAAGTTTGTGACTGTAGCTCAGAACTAACTATGCTGCTGATAGACACAGATTCAGTGCTCCTCAGCGGGAAAATTTTCAGCCGTCATTATAATCTTTTCTTCTCGCGAATACTGCTAGCTTGCTTCAAGACCTACATTCTGCTGGTATCCTCTACCTACTTGTGCTATTTTGTAGTAGTTAGGACATATTTTACCGTAACTAATCTCTTTGTTTTAGAATGAACTCTGAACTAAACAGCTGAATGAAAGTTATGTGAAAAAATGACATAGAATGTGAATCGAAGAAGCATCAATTTCTTACAGGAAGAAGGCAAAACCAATGATAGACACTAATTTCTATTTCTTGTTTGGTCTACTCTCTCTCTCTCTCTCCCTCTATCAATGATAAAATAGCATTTATTCTCACACTGAAATGTACATAAAAGCCACAAATGTCAACACAACTCTAATTACAGAAAAAGACCATTCGATTGAGTCTAAAGTGTTCGTTTAATAAAGCTAAACATCATCTCAAACACAGCTAATTTTTTTTTGACAACAGTAATAGAATTATACTACACAAAACTCAAAAGAAAAACGTGACAGATAATAACAATAATAATGGGAACTGTTGTCATTAACAAGAATTTGTAGCAATGTTATTATCAAAAATCCAACATACAGTTTTTAGAACACAATAGGGACATGTGAGTTAGTGAGATATAGTGATCGTGTGTGTGTGTGTGTGTGTGAGAGAGAGAGAGAAAGAAAGCGAGAGTACACGTGTGTATGTGTTAACAGACGAGATGATAAACCGCCTATCTGACAGGAAACTCTAAGCTAACAAAAGATGCTTTATAAAAAATTAGCTAGACTACCTTGACTACTTATTCTCACAAGAAGTAAAATAGAAAAAATAACACAAGCGATAGACATTGGGTATATAGACTAAATCATTACTAGTCTCTAGTTGAAATAAATATATATTTTTTTAAACGGAACACAATTTCCAAAGCAAATTAGTCAAATAAGTAAACTTTGAAACATTGATCTAGAGTTATCAGAATGATACAAACATAACGACTAGCATTTTAATGCCAAACAAGTGAGATAGACGAAAATATCCATGTGTTGAACACTTAAATTATTACTTCCTATATGAGTATCACAATCTGAGTTAAACGACAATTAATTCCTAGAGGAACATAGGGCTTTAACCGCACGTTTCCATTGCGTTCGGTTCTCTGCCAAGGTTTCAGCTCCCAGAGATCCCTGTTGCTAATCTTTTCTAGCCATCCGACCTTGAGCACTGAGCGAAGACAGCTGTTGATGAAAGTCTGCAGTTTCTCATTGATAAGTATCCACATATATATTTATGTGTGTGTGTATGTTGGTCTCTCTTTCTGTTTGCTCGCTTAGTCTGTGACCATTTCACTTGTATGAACCTGTCTGCTTTAACAATGTATATTCCATTTATATTATATATAATATGAGTGTTTGTTGACAGTCCGTTGCTTGGCGACGTATATCCATATATGGTGGTTGTTGACATGTCTGCTATATTTCGCTATGTATAATTGGATCGATACTTCATTATAATTAGCCATCCATGTTAAGACTGTCTATTGATTTATTCCCACGCTTTGTCTGCAACATTCATATATATTTCGCATACACAATCTTGTAAACTACTTTACTTACTTACCACTTTGGTGTGAGACCATTTATTTTCGTCTCCTTGTGTTTGGACAATAGAAGTATCATCGCAAACCTAGTGGTCTTCTGATTTCCGCCTTCTCGCGTCAGGACTATTAGTTTCTCGACCAGACCATAACAATAATTTAGCGACGAGTACATAACACTCATCCACATGAGAAAACAGAGTTTAAATCATAAACTAATACATTCAACATTCTTCCAGTATATGTAAGATCTAGTAAGTTACTGTTTTGACAAACTTAGAACTCTACATTAATGAAATTATGCAATCACTCGATACATCACATTAACAGTGAGGTACGTAAGACCAACTGTGAGTTCCAATGGTGCACTCGGCAACGGCCAAATACCAAGTTTTGGAACTTGGGCGATAGTTGGTTTGCTAAGTTACAGTACACAGCAAAATTTGTATGGAAATCCACCTGTAACCAACAATTAGTTATCATCAGAAGCAAGTATCAAGCAAGGCCTTACTACTTGACACATATCAGTAATGTAACAATCTCTTCAATCTCCAGTTATTTCGGTTTCTAAATTAACTGGTGCTGTAGGTTAGTCTCATGAATCGTTAATTATAAATGACCTGTATAAACTGATATTCGACGACACATGATTCGGTGATAATCGATTACTTTCGAAGTCATAATTGGTAGATGTTATTTACTACAGAGGAAAAGATTTCCGATGCTTCATTTATGAAAAATAATAAAAACTACCTGGGAATCGATCAACTTCTCAGTGAACTAACTGAATAAAAAAATTACAAGATTTCATTTAAATACTCACCATACCCAACGTGGGCTTGGAGGCTGGAAAGGCATACAAAAAAGCACCAAAACACTAACAACTTACATTCAAATATTCTCGATAAAATTCTGGTGTAACAGGACACCATACTTCTGCACATTGAACACGTGCAATAAAACCACGTTGTTGTAATTCCAACCAATTTGCTTCATATAATTTAGGTCCAATTAAAAAATTCAAATCTGTTATCTTATCATCTTCACGAACCAATGTAGCTGTCAAACCTAGTTTACAGTGTGCTTGTACTAGAGTTAATACTCGACGAAACATTTTCGCTGGGATTGTGTGTACCTGAAGTATAGAATACCAACGATAACAACAATAATAACACTCATGAGTAAGTTCATTATGTACTTTCACGAGACCACATAATATATATATATATATATATATATATATATATATATATATATATATATATATATTGCAAGTATTTCAAGCGGATAAAATAAGTCATTATGTATGTTTTTTATCGGTATGGAGGTGAGGATACGACGTGTATTAACATATTAGTAGGAAATACCTCCAATAAAAACGTGTAATTCTTACCCTTGATACACTTGAACAAGACAAGAACGACAACAAATTTGTTATTTCTGTCTTGTTAAAAGCATACTGTAGAAAGTTAATTCTAGTTACTTAGTCAGTAAGTTGAGTTAGAAGTTTTGTTTTTCTTCATCAGTTCTGTTTAACTTTAATTTATGCGTTTTAGCCTGATTATTTCAGTGTTCAATTTTATTGACGAAGCTTAATTTGCTGACAGTATGCTGAACTTGTGAATTATTCTTTTTTTAAACACAATTGTTAAGGCAAAATTCCGACTTATAGGTTCCAATCTTTGCTGAATTAATACATGAAGTTGTAGTCAGACTGCAAAGATTATAAGCTACGGACTTTGGTTATCAGAAAATGATGGTGGGTCGGTCAGCAATCCCACTTTATGCCACGTCATATTATTATTTTTATATTTCCATGTACACATTTTCATTTGTGAGTAGTTAGTTATTTAACCACAAAACCGAAGAGTATAAATACGAGGTCTTTTGGGAACGATACAATCAAAGCGGTTTGCTAGACAATTAAAGAATTACTATTATTATTATTATTTAAACAAAGACTAGGAACATTATGGGCGTCGAGAGATAGTTTGTGCGAACACTCGGACATGTAGACCAAAGCAAATGGTTGTCTAAAAGGACCATCATCCAAGCCCTTGGCTTGAAGTCTGATCCACAAGACAATGGAGTAGCACCAGCAGCTGCGTTCCCATGGTTGGAGGTGACCCAGGCAGCATTATACACCATTCGATTCATCGAGGTTCTTGACTCCATGTATATCATAGGTTTGGCGTCAGGGTTTTCCAGCTCTCCTAGGTAAACCTGCATGCCCACCGATCCCGTCGTCAGTGCCAGACGTTTGCGTTTATCCTTTCACTTTTGTGAGGAACAGTGCTGTTGTCTGAAGGTAGTGACCGGGACTTACGCGGTGCTGTCACATGAGAGCATTCTCAGAGGAAGACCAAAGTCCACCCACTTTCAGACGTACCAAGCCGTTTATGGTACTTACCAACATCACAAAAATTTCTACGTTATTAGTGATTTCTATCACAAAATCCGCGACACTTGCCTAATGTCTTTAATTGTTATTACTAAGTATTTCACTTATTTTCGAAAATTGTTGAATAAATTTAAAAGCGATAAAACTGCACAGACAAGTTTGAACTAACGCCATTAGTTCACGTATAAAGATAATAAGATGACGATAGAAACAGTCTACAAATGCTAGTGTGAAAATGCACAGTGCCCAAGTTTTATACTTATATAAAAATGCAAATGTATATATGTTTAACTATAGAACCTACTGTAACATGCATTGTTACACAAACTTTTAGGAATTGTAAATGCAGTCCAAAAAATAAACATCTCACAAAATGTTTACAATTCACAATTTATTCTCAAAAGTTTTACAAAAATATCATGTGAACATAGGCAGTGAACTATGCCGATATAATTGGAGTCATCGTTAGCATAATCAATAGAGCCGCTCTAAATCGTACCAGCTGATATGTGTACTTTTTGACAAGATACATGTTTACAAAAATTGTGCCAAACAGAAGAAGGTTGTAACAAGAAGTCATAATTGGTAAATAATGTTATACTACCTTGTCTAAAAAAATTTCTCTCCTACCGCTAAGTGACTACATGCATGTTTATCATACTGCCTATTCTTGAGAAGGCAGAATACAATCTGTGTAAAATCATTCTAGTGTCCAATACGAAGTGTTGTCTTATATATTTAACTTTGAAATAAAACGATCGAATTTTACTGCATTCTTTTTGACCTGAACACCTATTTATAGCTGTGTACATGAAAAAAAGCACAGGTTAATTGAGTTGCTTACTGCAGTGAGAATTCATAAACCACTGAACTAGACAGTTTATTTTTGAACCTACACTAAACAATTTTCACATATATGTATGCATTTTATACTGATATTGTTCACACTGTCTCTGTTTTCACCATGCAGTAGCACAATGAGTGAAACGAGTGAGAGTATAGGTGCTCCATTCATCTTTCAGTATCTAAGATAATTCATATATATATATATATATATATATATATATATATATATATATCAAGGCTCACGAACGTAGAGGTTTGCAAGTTGAGGGTTTATGGTTCTCAAAAGCAAAGCACACGAATCGCATCTGAATGACATCACTACAAAGTAAGCTAGTTAGGTTTATCATAAAGTGGAAGGATGGACCCCTTAAAATGAAATACAGTGTTTGAAATTACGAGAAAGGAAGAGAGGGAGAGACAGCAGAAGTCTTTATTCAAAAGCCATTTAGTAGTAAACAGACTGCTATTACTATAGATAAAAACCATTTTTCAAAATTATGAATATTCAGACCATAGATGTTACGAATTTCCTGGAATGATTGATATTCACATTTTCTGGAATATTCTAAATTTTAAAAATTGCAAATTCAGTAACAGGTTGGCACCAATCAAAGACCACTGAGTAAAACAAAAAAATACTTAACTTAGTCACCACGCTCATTGGTGGCAGTCTTAATTCTCTCAGATGATCTAAGTGATTCTGTTAGACTAAATGTGGGTAGTGATCAACCTGCCCAACAAAACTACTGTGTGTGTGCTATTGATAGGATTTATTAATAGCGTATAAAGAGACTTTCATAGGCGTAAAAATATCAAACTGCAAAGAGATAGATTTGACGTCAAAGAGAGAAAATGAACCACCGTTGCGGAAAAACATGATATACGCGAAAAGAAGACAAAGAAACACAATATGAAGGGCACAAGTAACACAACAGAGAAGATCTGTGCAAATGACGGCTATATAGAGATAAAACATTCGAAGTAAACATTCGTTTACCCAGTGTCTTGTCTTCTACCGTTACACTACTAGTGGTCAGTCATTATTACAATAATAGTGTTCACAGGAGAAAAGGTGATTTAACTCATGAATAGTTGAACTAAACGAAATTGTGCCCAATGACCGGAATCATGCAACGACAAAAGACAACACCCAAGTTAAACAAAGTCCTAGGTATGATAAATTAGCAAGAATACAGCTGAGCATTGAATGCATGGACCATTTAGGAAAGTAAAACTTAAGGTCATTAACCTGACGCGCATATATATATATATATATATATATACCCAAACACTGAATCATCACAGCTGTGAAGACGTCACAATTGAAATTAATCTCAATACACACACACACACTCACGAGTGCGTATAGACGAGACGAAAGATAACAATTAAACAGAATAAAGACAATATGCAAAATATTATGGTGTAGAAACACGGAGCGAGTATTGGCTGTTTGTTTTTTTAATTATTTAAGGAAAAGAAACTGGGACAGCTGACTGGACCATCACGATATATATATATATATATATATATATATATATATATATATATATATATATATATATATGTAGGCATGATGAAGTAAACAACCTCATTTCACCTAAGAAATTAATGAAGCAAAAGGAGAAAGGACAATAAATTTCTTTCAAAAATTATTTTTAATCAGAACAGAAAACATGAGGACAATATTAAAAATAATAATATTATTATCAGATAGAGACAGGGAGAAAGACAAGAAGAAGAGACAAGAAAACCAAAGAATGAATGGGAACGTGGATGATGATAGCCCTGACCATTGACAGAGATGAACTAAGCGCAAAAGGAGGTTGATATATATATATATAACAACTATCAAGTGAAAGCTAAGCTCAAAGGTGCAATGGTGGAGCGAATACGAAGGGAAAAAGGAGAGAGAGAGAGAGAGACATATACAGAGACAACATACGTACATCAATTTCTATGACTAATTACTTTTTCACTATTTACAGAATTAATTTCATTAAACTAGTTGTATATTTTAGTGTTGTTTTACAGTCACAGGTCAGTAGGTAAATAGCAGAGAAGAAGAAAAACAAATGACAATACATCGATCGAAAAAGAAGATGGACAGGCTGTATATTAATTTTATATTGCCAACCACACTGAAATTCGCACAAAACATGGAATGTACTCACTAAATGACACAATAATGTTATATTTTATAAGATAAGGACTGAGTATATTCTTTAAAACACTTAGTTGGTTTTCCTACATACTTGAGAAAGGAAAAGGTATAGGCTGTTGAAGACGAAGAACCAATGTTGATTGTTCATTGATGTAGTTTTTTCTGGTTATTTCAGAGGTAAATAGTATCTTCGATAAATAACTGCAGTGATCAACACCTTGATTTTAGCGCCTAATGACAGGTAGTTAGAATCTTTATTTTTCACGATGTAAGACCTGGACAACGTGACCTGTCCAGAGTGTACTACAAACTACACTGAACTACGTACGATACATTATTCATCCTATAATGTATTAAATACGATTCACATATAATTTATTAATCAATATAAAGTATAGAAAGTAAAATAAAAGGTTCCAAAGTCAACTTCATAGAGCAGCCTAGAGAATATTGTTCGTCACAAACAACTCAACCATTCCAATTGACAGGGTTAACAAAAAATTTTTGCACTGAACTTGATTAGTTGAAAATAAAGGAAAGTGAGGTATTTAATACTTTACACTATGTATCAAAATCTGATTTCAGACCCACCCTTTTGCCCAACACCCTGACAGTTATGTCAGCTGTAATGCAGTTGATGACTTAAATAAGGTAAGAGTTGTTACCATAATGCCTCCCTGAATATATATATATATATATATATATATATATATATATAGTGGGA